GCTGGCTATCGTTACTGGAAAGAAAATGATAAAGTTCATGACCAAGAACATCTTGGCTCGTTTTGGTCCTCCTAGAATCCTCATAAGTGATAATGGCATGCAATTTGCAGGAAGTCCCTTCAAAGAGTGGTGTGAAGGCAAGAAAATTCATCGTCGGCTCACGTCAGTAGCACACCCTCAGGCCAACGGATAGACTGAGATATCAAACAAAACCATAGTCAATGGTTTGAAGAAAAGGCTACTCCGATCAAAGTTCACCTGGGTAGATGAGCTCTCGACCGTATTGTGGTCATACTGTACCACAACAAGGTCGATCATGGGAGAAACACCATTTAGTCTAACCTCTGGGATGAAAGCAGCACTCCCATTCCAAATAGTGGCCAACTCCCTGTGAACCGAGAGTTTCAAGGAAGTAGCCAACAAAGAAGGGCGACACTAGGACCTAGATATGCTCGATGAAAAACGTGAGGCAACACAGATGCGCCAGGCGCTATACAAATCATGAACTAAGAACTATTACAAGCGTTAAGTCCGGGTCAGGAATTTCAAAGTTGGAGAATGGGTGCTAAGGAAAAATGAGTCCATTCTTGCCGAGCCATTAGGGAAACTCAGTGTTACTTAGGAAGGAGCGTACAAAATTGTGGAAGCTCATAAGAACGGTGATTACGTCCTAGAAGCTCTGGATGGGCGTGCCATTCAAAGAACTTGGAATGCGTAGAGCCTACTTCATTTTTATTATTAAAAATGAGTGTTAAAGATAGATTTAATGCCAGCAAAGGCATTGTATATTAGTTTTGAAATGTAAATGTAATCAGCAAAAAATTAATTTACTACTTCCAGTCTCATATCACTCCAACAACAAAACTAGAATAAACGGAAAGGGCAATTCAGATGCTCCTTATTTTCAAGCTTGAAAGTAAAACAAAGAGGTTGTGTACATTTACCATGTCACAACAAGGACTGATCATCCAACGTCACACGAGCGAAATTGTTACAAGGAGGTAGCCATGGAGTTTGTATAAAAAGCCTCTTAACCTTCCTCCCAAAACATGTTCATCAATTACATTATAGCAAACATATAAAAGAACATGTGACATAAGTGTAGAAGAGTCATAACCTTCCACTAATGAGAAAAACAAAACCGAGTGAGCCTCAAGATGACGATCTTGGCTACACCCAGGGTCTTTAAGAAACAAATTAGAACAAATTTCTCAAAGACCAACATTAGTAAATCATAAAGAGTTCACCAGTAAAAGAACTCAATTTAGGGGTACAAGCAAACCCTGCGTAAATACCATGTGATGGCCAACATAAACCATACACAAAGCAACCAAACAACAAGAATATATGTGGTAGAGAAAAACATTCATACCTAATAATCAAAAGTAAACATTCCCAGACTTTTAGTCTGCCACCGAGGTCAGCAAAGACAAAACACAAAGAAAGACATAGAAAATGTTGTTAAAAAATATTACATCATAGAAAATTAAGCGAGCAGCACTACTTAGGGGAAAAGGTGTTACGATCACCTGGGGAAGAGCTTCAGCCAGGGCCTGACCCATCACTCTGAGCGTCTTGGAAAAGGTTATGCAGCCCGGCTATGTCCAGACTACCCAAGTAAAGATATCCAGCAAAATATGTTTCAGTAAAAGTTGTCATGGCATCCTCCATCTCATGGGTCTTGGTGGCTAAGTCCACCTCAACCTCAGGATTAAACTCCATGGAAATCACCTGCTCCTTCACATGTCTCTTTCCCCACTCCACCTTGCTGCCACACAGACTGTCCGTACATGAACCAAACCCTGAAGAAATTAAGGCTCTCGATTACCCTGTCCACCACCTGTCTGAGCCCATCTCTAAGGATCCACAAAATATCCTTCTCCAACGCCTCTTTTATATCGTTCTCAGCAACCAGACCGACCTCTAGTTCTGTCGTCCTCCCGCTTAGACTGTCATTCTCCAAGCTTAGGGCTCCCACACGGTAATTCTAGCGCCTCACCTATTCTTTCAGCTTTGCCACTTGATCCTTTAAGCTTGCCTTCTCGAGCAGCTCCACCTCCTTCTTGGCCTCCCAGCTACCCTTGTCGGCTTCTATCTATGCCATCAGAGGCCTTCAACTCTTTACATTCAATGCTCTTCCTATCAGAGTTAGACTGGATGGTCTCCTTATCGGAGATACGTTCAGCAGTTGCGATCAAGTAAGATGACACTTGGGCAATGGCATAGCGCAAGCCGTCATCCATGTGTTCATCCGATAGGACTGTTAGGACTGTTAACACCTTAGTTATAGTAGGAGGAAAAGCATGCCGACACCACTCAATAGCGATGTCATGAACGGTGACAAGGTCTTGGGAAGTTAGCCTCGAAGCTGGCCTGTAGGCATCCGGATAAGAAGCCACACAATAGGGATGGTTGCGGTTTTACCAGAAGAAGTTGATGCGGGACATTGGGAAGGCGAAGACCCAGTCTTCACCTCGGCTCCTCCAGTAGTGGGAATAGGGTTGATCTTGTTAGTGCTTTCGTCTTCCGTATGACTGGGCGGTTCAATCGCCCTGGTTTGTGCCCCCCTCCAGCAATTTTGGAGGACTATCATTGAGGGAACGGTTGAAACTCTTGGTACCCCCTAGTAAGAAACTCAGATTACGTTTCTTATGAAGAGGGGGTCAGGTGCTAGTCGTCTTAGTTCGACCACTGGAAGAGGATTCCAAGAAAGCTAAATGCCTTTTGACATAGCGAAGACTCCTCGTGGACCACGAAGGTGTAGGATCCTTTTGAGAAACGTCACTGACAATAATGTCCTGCAGCTTTGGATCGTTTTCGGTGCTGGTAGCATTGTCAGAACTGACGGTAGCCTCAATTCCTCAACCAGAAACAGGAGGTGGAAGAGCATCCACAAGATCGATGTTGCGACACTGAAGTTCACTGTCGAATTAACCATGAAGAGCGTTCTCTAAAGAAACAACCTCCTCCACACCTGGCAACAAAACAAAAAAACAACGGCGGTTCACCAAAATGCCGATTTAAACATGCTTTGCCGATTAAAGAGAGGGGGAAGGGGGCAAGAGTAAATAGAAGAAGAAACATAGTACCTTCTTTCTCTACGAAGAACTCAAGAATTTTCCCTCGAGCCCTCCAAGCGGCGCTCATTCCCCCGGCGGCCAAGAAGCAGTTGAGCCAGACACCATTGATGTTGATCTTCTCTAGGGTGTCAGCCAGCTCTTTATCATCACCATAAAGCGTTGGAGCGTGATCCACATACACCTTATTCCTTGGGTCGCTAAGCACCACAAGGTTGTCGTTCACCCACTAGAACTTCTCCTGCCAGTTCTTCTTGGAATTTTTGTCGTGAATAAGGGTAGGGACTCCCCGCCGACGAGAAAGGGTTCGAGTTCCTGACTGAGTGGAAGCATTGAAGAAGTGCTTGAATGCCGCAACAGTTGGCACACGACCTAGGGCATGATAGAGGAGTTCAAAATCCACTATCTTGTTTATAGAAATAGGGGTCTGCTCTCTCACGGAAAACCCATATTCCCAGATAATCAAGTTGAAGAAGTGGGTAACAGGTAAACTCAGACCCGCCTTAAACAAGGCGATTGGAATGCCAACTTTGCCCTCGGGAGGACTGTAAAGTGATGTGTCATGATGGGGGATTTTCACTCCGTATTTGGGGACAAACCTGAATCGGAACTCAAAAGATTCCCATTCTTTGGTGGTAAGATCTCTTCCCAAGGAACGAACGGTAGCCATGGAAAAATAGGAAGAAAGGGTCGAAAGGATTTCTTTGGGGCAAGAAGTCGAAGAGAGAAAAGTAGAAAGTAAGGAGGAAACGCCAGGAGGAATGGAGGTTTAAATGCCACAAAAGGGGCAGCGAACCATTTTCATGATGAAACCGTCGAAGAACGGCGATTTCACCCTGCCAACTGCATAAGCTATTAGTAGCAACCCACCACGTGTCTTTCAATATACCATAACGATTCTGCTACGTCATTAATGTAGACACCTAATAGCCTAAGGGACTTGTTAATGTTACTTTGTACGGTCACATAAAATATAACGAAAAGCATAACTGAGACGTCATCACGCCAAAACCCTGGCCAAGACCCGGCCTTGGCCTAAGTGAGCCAACACCCGGGAAAAAGTTCACTTTCCATCACGAGAAAATAATATTCCTCATAATCTTCTCATTTACTCACGACCAATCAAGACGTGACAAGAAGCTCAGGAGACGTCCAAAACTGATGTCACCAGGCAATTAGTTAACGTGGGCATAATTCTCCTAGTCAGAGGAGGCCACGTTTTCACACTCATTGGATGAGGTCCCCACGACCTGTTAGTAACAGGTATAAAATGATCTCTTTCGCATCAAGGAAGGGATCCATTTTCTCCCTCATGAGTTTTATCCTAAAATTCTATCTCTCAGAAAACTAACTTGATCGTCAGTGTGACATCAAGGAGAACACCCAGACGTCCTTTAAAGATTCTTATGTGTTTTGTTCTCAGGGAAGCTTCTAGGACAGATCCATCATCCGACATCCCAACCCCTATAGAGCATTTCACAACATATCATTACTCAACAAATAGGCTACCCAGTTAGCCCAAGGATACACCTATTATTCAAAGCATATAGCTCGGTCCGCCGACTGCACTTATGTAGACATCGAGTATCATTACTCAATAAATAGGCTACCCGCTTAGCCCAAGAATAAACTTATTCTTCAAAGTATGTAGCTCGGTTTTCCGACTACCCTTATGAATACTTCGAGTATCATCAATCAACAAATAGGCTACCTGCTTAGACCAAGAATACACTTATTCTTCAAAGCATGTTACTCAGTTTTCCAGCTACACTTGTGTATACATCGAGTATTAATCCTCAACAAATAGGCTACCCACTTAGCTCAAGAATACACTTATTCTTAAAAGCATGTAGCTCGATCCACTGGCTACACTTATCTAGCGAAGCTACCTTGGCCACAGCATCCCGGTTACGTATCGACAGGTCAAGATCTCTTCCCAAGCATTCCCTGATTATCTAGCGAAGCTACCTTGGCCACAGCATCCCGGTTACATATCGACAGGTCAGCAAACATCTCTCTGGCTTTCACCAACATTTCCTCGCTTGCAAGATTCATACCTTCGGCAACATGCAAATTTACCTCCGCAGCTAGAAATCGGTATCGCAAGTTTAGAAACTCAGCAAAAAACTTGAGAACTCGCCCGAGTGCGGCGGAGATAATTTTTTCAGCATGAGCTATAAATCGGCATGCTTCATCCAACTCCTCCTCAAACAATACACAAGAAGGGCACTAACCTAAAAATTTCGGAAAATAGTGTTAATAGAGCGATATAATCATTTAAAACCCATAGCATAGATGTAAATATGTAATACACGCCAAATCATTTACATACCATCCGGTCTGGGGGCAACGCGGCCAAAAGACGAAGCAGAAACACAGCGAGGGACTACATGGGAAATCTCATGGAGAAACAGTTCAAACTTATCAAACGAAATGACATGCCTACGTTTTCGACTAGAAGAGACACTTCCTGGGGGCCCAATTGTTGTGGATCTAGAAGAACCAACATGTGCAGAGCAAATCACATGACAAGATATGTCCATAATTTGATCAATAGAGAAAGCATTCAGCCCAAACCATAGAAGAGAAATGGGTGATTCGGGCTTTAAAGTCATCTGATCCACATTTTGGTCAAGAACCGTGTCATCCAACATAATAGACTTGGGAGGGATATCACTGGCCAAAAAAGATGTCAGCTGAAAGGATCATTTACTCCCATCTACAATAATAAATGAGCATAGAGAAAAAACCTAGATGTAGAATTTATATTAGGAGATTACCGACAACCAGGGAAAGAGAAAAAAAAGAACTTATGCTAAATCTAGTAAAAAGGTTCGACAAACCTGTATGACATACATATAACACTGGTAGTTAACAACGAGGTTCCATATCGGGCTCATATGACAAAGGGCAAGTACAACTTCCGACAAAAAATCCCCCTTTACACAGAAATGAGAAAATAAAGGCACGAACACACGAAGATCAGAAGACAAGGATATCGAGTCATCACCATGTGAAACATAACATGGGAAAAATTGTAAACACAGGCTATGTATGTCCACCCAACAGAACTTACTTTTCTAGTTCCCATTTAAATGAGCTAAATTTGTAGATAGAGGAAAGTGACGACTACTGAAAGAAAACCACTCACCATACTTATTCAAGTGATAAAAATAGCAAAAGAAGGAGAAGTCAAGTGGTATCTCATGAGAAACACAAAACACTTCGAAAGTTATAATATTTCACACTGCATTCGGTCATAGCAGGATAATATGAACTATATATTGACAAAGAACTTCTAAAAAGAAGCGATACGGGGGTAACTGTAACCCATATACAAGATGTCAAAGATAGAAACCAGTCTTACCAGGCGGGGCATCATGGACATACGAAGATGAAGATGGAACTTGGAAACCAAGTACAAGAGACAGGTGATATTCATGAGTATACTGCTCCAACCTGAAGTCGTCTACTTTGGACGCCACTATAGACATGTCATCACCTATACAAGTCAAGATGATGGTAAAGTCAAAAGGAACGCATGTAAGGAAGTTTTTACAAGAACAACAAGGATTATCTGGTAAATAATCAGAGGGACCGGTTAAAGCATTTATTAAGGGAAATCTAATCAAAGTAAGAAAGATGACGTGCGACGACACAAGCATTTAATGCACAACATGCGAAGGATTTTACAGTACCCGATATGTATTTAAAAGTTTGAATGGAATAAATATTTTGACAATATTCCCTTCAGATTAGAGGGTTTAATGGTGTACCTGGCCGGTTTTCCGAGGAAACCCGCTATTGTCTCGGTACTTACCAGGTCAACGTTACAAGCATTGCCACTTGTTTCAGACAAATATGAATTCGAATACATTGTACGCAAACATCAGAATCGTATTCCAAAAAATATACCAAATAGTACAGATCAAATAAAATAAACAAAGATAGAACATGAAGTGCGACCACTCGCAGACCGGGTAATGGGTGGAGGACTGGTCTAAGAAATGGGATTTACTAACCACGAACAGCCTATAAATACCCCTAGAGACATGATAATCAGACATGTAAGAGGGGAGAACATATATTCTTTACCACAAAAGCAACACCAAAAAGTCGCAATCTAACTTAAGCATCCACGAGCTATGTTGGGATCTAACCCTCAATATGGTTGTCTGACCTAATTTTTTTATTCTTACGCATAGTGAATTCATGGATGCCTATTGGACAAGACCCTTTGGGCTGAAAGAGCTAATAAGCATGCGTTTGGAATTTGTCGTACCAATAATATATATATATATATATATATATATATATATATATATATATATATATATATATATATATATATATATATATATATATATATACACAAACACACACACACACAGAGGGAGGGGGAGAGAGAGGATCCGGATCCGATAGGAACCCAAAAATTTGTAGAAACCGCGATGAATATTCTCTACCAATCATTTCGTCAATGGCACAAACATCAAACCCATTTACTTGGTTGTGATGCGTTCACACGCGGCGCAAGTGTATGGAACGTAACTGAGTGAATAATCATGCGCGACGAACGTTCATGGAACGCCATTTGAATGAGTTTTCCTTTTCTTTTTTCATTTATTTTGGTTTTTTTGGTTTTTTATTATTTATTAATTATTTTTTATTAAAAATAATTCAAAATTTTTTCTTAAATAGATATATGCATGGTTTTAATGACTTTATATTTTTTTCATTTTTTTTTTTACTTTTGTTTCAGTATTTTTTTAATATCTTTACTACATACTTGAAGATAATAGGGTGTTTTTTCAAAAAAACTAAATATCGGTTTGAATTTTTTAATGTTTAATAATTAAAAAATATTAAATAAGAAGAATATTAAAGATCATAATATTTTCTATTTATACTTTTTTTTATCATATTATTTTTGGATCATAAAATTTAGAATCATATTATTTTGAATCATAACGATATTATGCATCATACATTATTGGATCATATTAATTTTAATTATTTTTATTTTGATAATAATATATTGAATTAAATAAAGTTTTTGTTTGATACAACATTTGGATCATTATAATTTTTGAATCATTTAATTTTGAATAATAATAAAATATAATAATTAAGGATCATTACATATTTGAATCAATATATTTTTAGATTATAACAAGTTAATGACCATAAACATATTGAACTATAATATTTTTGAATCATAAATATTTTAAATCATCTTTATTTGCATCATATTATGTTTAACATTTTTTTTAAACTTTTAATCTTTTGAAATCAAGTTTGGTATCTGAAATACCTTATTTTTTAAAATTCTTTTTATAAAGTAATTAGAATAATGAGTCGAAGTATACCTTAAATTTTTATAATTTATGAAGAACATTTTTTCTGGGTTTTTTTATAAATATAAAGAATTTCAAATTTTCATATTTCTGCTCATTTTGTAGAGAATTAAATTTTAAAAACTTAGTTTTTTTCAGATTTTTTTTTCAAAAAAAAAGAAAAAAAATTATGGCCAAAAAACTAAACGGTAGAAAAAAAAAACTCACAAGCCAATAAGGGTTGGACACTTGTCATATTTTGGGTGGGGGTACGTGTCAGCTCTGGGAGAGACCACTTGACCAAAATTTCATTTTATTTTTTCTTTTTCATTTTAATCTTTTTGCTCTTGTCACTTGTACCCTCAAAACAATTAACTTTTCCCGAAAATTATCAAAATTTTGCAATTAATTACGAAAATATCATATTATCTCGCGAGATTTTGACGAGAAATAAAATCAAACAGTGGTCATTTATTATTTCAAACTTAAGACCAAATATTGTTCTCGCGGTTTCCACCATTTTTTGAGTTCCTCTCTCTCTCTCTCTCTCTCTCTCTCTCTCTCTATATATATATATATATATATATATATATATATATATATATATATATATATATATATATATATATATATATATATATATATATATATATATATATATATATAACAGAAAAATGAAAAATAAAATAATAAAAAAGTTAAATTATATTTATATGGGCGTATATAACATGTTATCTTATATTTGAGTCTGTCTATTTGTTACACGAGCATGCTCACATGTCATCATATCGCACCCAAGGATTGTGTTAAACGTTTGATTGTTGAAAATTGCCAATGCAATTCCTACTTTTTTTTTTTTTTTTTTTGCTTTCTATGAGATCTGAACTATATATATATATATATATATATATATATATATATATATATATATATATATAGAGAGAGAGAGAGAGAGAGAGAGAGAGAGAGGTTCAAATGTGGATTGACATCTATTATGTGGACGTGTGAACAATACTATTATGTGAGAATGACAAAGAAAATATGTTGTTTGATAATTGAATACATTCAATCTTATATAACTATAGTCATTATCTTACATTCTTACTAATTAAACCATCTATAAGGTTATTATACATTTTTTTAATTATTATTCTCATTTTATCAGAATGTTTATTGAATCGTACTATTTAAGAATGAAAATTAGTGAAAAACGATTTGTGAGAACAAAAATGAATAAAAATTAGTGAGAATGTATGAAGATGACAATAGTTTTGTGAGATTGAACGCATTTACATTACTAAACAACCTATTCTATTATTAATTTTTATAGAATAGCATTATCCACATGTCCGTACAATAGTTGTTCATCCATATTATAACCTACCCTATATAAAAGAATAAGTTTATTCTCATTTTTTCATGACAAATAAAAGAATAAATTTATTCTCATTTTTTCATATGTCACCATATTAGGCTTCTTAATTAACGAAATGTCACTTATTAACCTATTGATTCTTCATTTTAAATTTCACACTCTAATTTCAATTAACTAATAACATTAGAATAAAAATTGAAATAAAATTAATAAAAACTATAAGGTAATATAATTTCTTGTATTTATTAAAAGAATAAGTTTATTCTCATTTTTTTATGTGTTACCATATTAGAAATTATAATTAACGAAATGTCATCTATTAACCTATTGATTTTTCATTTTTAAATTTCACACTCTAATTTCATTAAACTAATAATATTAGAATAAAAATTGAAATAAAATTAATAAAGATTACAAGGTAATATAATCATGTATTTATTTAGATCAACCATCATAATTTTATATAACTAAAAAAATATCTTTTAATTAATAATTTATTTAAAATCACTTATTTAAAATAATTGATTAATAATTTTTAGTTTTATTTTGAAATTTTAATTAATTTTATAACCGTGGTTTACACGGGTTATATATATATATATATATATATATATATATATATATATATATATATATATATATATATATATATATATATATATATATATATATATATATATATATAGTGTAATTCTGTGTTATGTATCACTTTCTATATTAAAATTGAATGTTAAGGGGCGTAGTTTTAAACAATATATGTTTTTAAAAGACTTACATAAGATATTCATGAGGTTAATGATGTTCGCAGTGTTCATGATCTTAATAAGGCCCATGATGTTCATGAGGTTCATAATGTTAGCAAGAATTATAACGTTTTCCCTATAAGAGAAGAGATGAAATTGGTTTGGACAGTTAAAAGTATAACATGAATTGAATCTTCGTTGACTTTGTTTATTGTCACGATGTTCTTTTATTATTCATGATGTATATTATACCTTGTTTTTTTAATAGCATTGTATGTCCTTCCCGTATAATGTTTCACAAAAAAATGCATTTTAATGATGTTTTTGGTGATAGGTTGAGAGGGGTTATTTTTCTAATACATTCTTTTATCATGATGTTTTTAATATTCATGATACTTATTATAACATTTTCTTACGATGTGCTACAAAAAAAGACATTTTAATATTGACAACTAGAAATGGTTTCCTTCTCGTTGTGTTGAAGACGCCGCCAATGTTTATTATGTTCTACTGTCACAAATAATATAATTCATTATTTTATCGTTTTGTTTTGTGTGTGCATGGTTGGGGTGGGGATGACAACATACTAAATTCTAGGGACCAAACCTACAAATATAACAATATACAAAAGTTAAAGGGGTCGTAATTGTTGTCACTAGTACAAAAATATCTACCGTCAGACTTTCCGAAAAACGGCATGTGATAATTTTTATTAAAGGTGTGGCCAAAAGTCATTAAAAAATTTTAAAAACTATTTTTGGATACATTTAAATTAGTTTGTGTGATCATTGTATAGATAATCAAAACTTTAACCACACTTAATTATACCAAATGTGACAAATGTTAGTCACACTCGACCACTGAGGCCACAGGTCACAATCAGCCACAGGTATCGATTAAGATTGTCATTTTTTTTATGAGAGACAGTAGATAAACGTATCGTGACATGAGTTAGTTATATGTGTATTTATAATTTGGTGCCTTTGTAGCCACATAACAGACAAAGTAGCTAAAAGGTGATACATATGGTCACACTAAAT